TCCCTGTCCCTGTGCCCACCGTGGGTATCCCTGTCCCTGTGCCCACCGTGGGTGTCCCTGTCCCTGTGCCCACCGTGGGTATCCCTGTCCCTGTGCCCACCGTGGGTTTCCCTGTCCCCTGTGCCCACCGTGGGTGTCCCTGTCCCTTGTACCCACCGTGGGTGCCCCCCTCGTGCCCTCACCTCGCAGCCACTCGCAGTTGTAGTTGCTGAGGGTCCCTGTGGAGCGGAGCCGGATCCGCGCCCCGGCCCCGGCGCCCCCGGCCACCTCGGCGACCTCGAAGGTCTCGAAGGGCGGGATGAGCACCTCGTCCTCGTCGGGGAAGAAGGAGAAATCCCTGACAGCCGCCCCGTGGCAGGTGAGCACCTCGAAGGCCGTGTCGGCGCCGAAGGCCCACGCGCTGCGGTTCCGCCGCGACGCCGACGCGAAGTGGCCGAAGCGGACGGCGCGGCCCGGCCGGGCCACGAACCTCACCCCGCTCACCCCGCGGAAAACCCGCTGGCACGGCCGGCCCTGCGCCTCCCACAGCGCTCCCACCGCCCCCGTCAGCAGGAAATGCAAGGCCTTGAAGTGGAAGCCGTCCCGGTATTCCCGGCGGGAGCGCCCGGCCGCCCGCGACGCCGCGTTGAAGGCCCGGTGCAGCGGCACCGGCGCCGTGTAGGCCAAGAGGGCCACGGCCTGCTCGGGGCTCAGCGGGGGGGACTTGGGGGCCGCCGGGGACCCCCGGACGCGCCACTCGGCCGCCGCCAGCGCCCAGCCCGCCGCGTAGTCGCCGTTGAGCGGGAACTCGGAGCGGTTGAGCGCCGGCAGCGCCGCCGCCATGGCGCGGCCGCAGCCCCGGTACCGGTCGTCGAAGGCCGACGGCGCCATGTCCAGGGCGACCTCCTGAGGGGCCGGGGGCAGCGGGGTGGCCGAGGCCAGGGCTGGCAGGGCCAGGAGCAGGGCCAGCAGGGCCATGGGGGGGGACGTGGGGACACCGCGGGGACACTGCAGAGACACCCTGGGGACACCACGGGGGCACTGGGGGACCTGGGTGGGTCCAGTTTCCTCCCAGTCAATCCCAGTACATGCCCCGGTCCCCTCTAGTCTCCCCC